GATCTAAGAAACTAGGACTGGGGGGAGGGAGCGGGGAGAAGAGCTGAGCCCAGGCTGGAAAAGGTGTCTGGCCTGTGAAAGAAACGCCTAAAACAACATTTAGGGTGAGAAAATTACCACTTCTAACTGGTTTCTTTAGTGTATTGAGCTTAGGTTGTGTGTTTTAGTTGCTCAGTAATCTGCTTTGATCTGTTTGCTGTCCCTTATAATCATTTAAAATCTAACCTTTGTGGTTAATAAGCTTGTTTTGTTTTCTAAAACCTAGTTTGTGGAATTCATAACTGGGGGGGGGGGGAAGCTGTGCATATTTTCCTCCACATTGTGGGAGGGGGAAATTTTCATGAGCTTACGCTGTACAGATTTCTGTGCAGCACAAGACGATATAATTTTGGGTTTGCATCCCAGAGGGGGAGTGCGCTTGAGTGCTGAACAATTCCCTAGCTGAAGCCTTCCCAGGCAATACTGATTTCAGTGTCTGTGTCTTTCTGCAGCTGGCTGTGTCCCTACCTGTGTGTGTGCTGGAGGAGGCTTGAGGGCCTGGCTCAGCAAGACAGGGTGAGGGAGCCCAGGCTGGTGGAACAGGCAGGCTCAGTGGTACCCCAGTATATCAGGTGGCACCCCAGAGGGGAGGGGTCAACCTGTCAAACAAGTGACTCATTATTAGAATCATAGAATCATAGAATATCAGGGTTGGAAGGGACCTCAGGAGGTATCTAGTCCAACCCCCTGCTCAAAGCAGGACCAATTCCCAACTAAATCATCCCAGCCAGGGCTTTGTCAAGCCTGACCTTAAAAACCTCTAAGGAAGGAGATTCCACCACCTCCCTAGGTAACCCATTCCAGTGCTTCACCACCCTCCTAGTGAAATATCCAACCTAGACCTCCCCCACTGCAACTTGAGACCATTGCTCCTTGTTCTGTCATCTGCCACCACTGAGAACAGTCTAGATCCATCCTCTTTGGAACCCCCTTTCAGGTAGTTGAAAGCAGCTATCAAATCCCCCCTCATTCTTCTCTTCTGCAGACTAAATAATCCCAGCTCCCTCAGCTTCTCCTCATAAGTCATGTGCTCCAGACCCCTAATCATTTTTGTTGCCCTCCGCTGGACTCTTTCCAATTTTTCCACATCCTTTCTGTAGTGGGGGGCCCAAAACTGGACACACTACTCCAGATGTGGCCTCACCAGTGCCGAACAGAGGGGAATAATCACTTCCCTCGATCTGCTGGCACTGCTCCTACCAATGCTGCCCAATATGCCGTTAGCCTTCTTGGCAACAAGGGCACACTGTTGACTCATATCCAGCTTCTCGTCCACTGTAATCGCCAGATCCTTTTCTGCAGAACTGCTGCTTAACCAGTCGGTCCCCAGCCTGGGGATTCTTCCTTCCTAAGTGCAGGACTCTGCATTTGTCCATGTTGAACCTCATCAGATTTCTTTTGGCCCAATCCTCCAATTTGTCTAGGTCACTCTGGACCCTATCCCTACACTCCAGCATATCAACCTCTTCCCCCAGTTTAGTGTCATCTGCGAACTTTCTGAGGGTGCAATCCATCCTATCATCCAGATCATTAATAAAGATGTTGAACAAAACCGGCCCCAGGACCGACCTCTGGGGCACTCTGCTTGATAGCGGCTGCCAACTAGACATTGAGCCGTTGATCACTACCCATTGAGCCTGACAATCTAGCCAGCTTTCTATCCACCTTATAGTCCATTCATCCAATCCATACTTCTTTAACTTGCTGGCAAGAATACTGTGGGAAACCGTAGCAAAAGCTTTGCTAAAGTTAAGATATATCATGTCCACTGCTTTCCCCATATCCACAAAGACAGTTATCTCATCATAGAAGGCAATCAGGTTGATCAGGCATGACTTGCTCTTGGTGAATCCCTGTTGACTGTTCCTGATGACCTTCTTCTCCTCCAAGTGCTTCAAAATGGTTTCCTTGAGGACCTGCTCCATGATTTTTCCAAGGACTGAGGTGAGGCTGATTGGTCTGTAGTTCCCCGGGTTCTCCTCCTTCCCTTTTTTAAAGATGGGCACTATATTTGCCTTTGTCCAATCATCTGGGACCTCCCCCGATCGCCACAAGTTTTCAAAGATAATGGCCAATGGCTCTGCAATCACATCAGGCAATTCCCTCAGCACCCTTGGATGCATTAAATCTGGACCCATGGACTTGTGCATGTCCAGCTTTTCTAAATAGTCCTTAACCTGTTCTTTCACCACAGAGGGCTGCTCACCTCCTCCCCATACTGTGTTGCCCAGTGCAGCAGTCTGGGAGCTGACCTTGTCTGTGAAGACCGAGGCAAAAAAAGCCTTCAGCTTTTTCCATGTCATCTGTCACTAGGTTGCCTCCCCCATTCATTAAAGGTCCCACACTTTCCCTGACCTTCTTCTTGTTACCTGTAGAAACCCTTCTTGTTGCCCTTCACACCCATTGCTAGCTGCAACTCCAGTTGTGTTTTGGCCTTCCTGATTACACCCCTGCATGCTCGAGCAATATTTTTATACTCCTCCCTAGTCATCTGTCCAAGTTTCCACTTCTTGTAAGCTTCCTTTTTGTGTTTAAGCTCACCGAAGATTTCACTGTTAAGCCAAACTGGTCGCCTGCCATATTTGCTATTCTTTCTGCACATCGGGATGGTTTGTTCCTGCGCCCTCAATAAGGCTTCGTTAAAATACAGCCAGCTTTATATTTATATTCCAGTAGCTCCTAGAGGCCCCAGTGGAGATCAGTCCTTCTTGTGACACGCCCTGAAGAACTCAGAGTTGACTTTCCGTGAAATTTAGGGTGCATTGACACTTCCAATCTGGAGTATAAATTCCAGCTTGAGGGGACATGGCTGCTCTAGTTCTGGTCAGTCTAGTGTACTAAGAATAGAGTGTAGTCATGGTGGCGTGCAGCCCCTAGCATTTTGGATGGTTATGTGCTCGGATGGAACTAACTCCTCCCACCAAATGTTCACTTGCAGCTCTACTTTATTTTTAGCATGCTAGCTTGATCAAAGCCAGAATTTACCTCCATCTCCAAGTGCAGATATACCCGAAGTCTCACTGGAAGTCAACCTTGAGCTCTTCAGGGAGCGTTTCTTGCTCTGTGTCTGTGCAGCACCTGTCACAACAAGACCCTGATCTCCACTGAGGCCGTTAAGTTCTACTGAAATACTCCTAAGCTCCTAAGTACCTAAGACCCAGAGCTACAGAGGTATTTAAGCATCTAATTCCCATAGAAATCAATAGGAGTTTGGCACCTAAATACCTTTGAGGATCTGGGCCTAAATTACTTTTGAAAATGGGACTTAGGTGTTTTTGAAACTTTTACCGTATATCTTTAGCTATTTGTGCTTCAGATTCCATTCCAGCCTCCTAATTAATTTCCTCCTTTCATTCTGCCTGCCATAGATATGCTCCTTTTCCTTGGCTTCACCATGACAGGACTTCCATTTCCTGAAGGACCCCTGGCTTGAATAATTTCTTGACCTTGCCATTTCACCAGGCTAGTTTACTTCTTGTCTTCCTGTTGCCCTGTTTGCATGCAGGTATTCTAAGATGCCCATGCTTGACTCAAGTCGTCACACTTATCCAGCCCAAAGGGGACAGTGGCATAGAGAACTGGGACAAGGTCTGCTTCCAGTTTCCTGGCCCGTGGTAGATGGGGGAGAGGAGGCTGCAGCCACCTAGGTAGTGGGGAGTCAGGGGACAGCTTGTAACAAGCACTGGGAGGTGCCTTACTATATGTTCAATAATCCTGTGCTGAAGTCCTACATGCATGGCACCGTGTTCTCCAACTCCGAAATGGGTGAACAAAAGCCAGAGCGATGCTGAGCCCAGGGGAGTATGTGTGTGTGACGTGCTCCTTTTACTGACATTGGGGTGACTCTACCTGATTATGCTGGGCTGCTGGGTTTCCTTTCTGAGCCAAGGCAGGTAAATCCATGGAGCAGGTTGTCACAATCACTCAGTGTCCATGTGATACTGAGAAAGGGGAGGGGAGGGGAGGGAGGCGCCTTGACAGGAGCCAATAGCTCAGCATCCCCTGAGGCTGGACACCAGGGGCCATGTTGCCAAAGGCAATTTGCAGCTCCCATTGACTTCAGTGCAATGTGTGGGGGCCCAGCACTTCTGAAGACCAGCCACATGAGGGCTTCTGCTCTGGAGTCAGCAGCTCGGCCCATCCAGACGCCCTGGAGGCTCTGGCTGTTGCATTGTTGACAGGTTCTTCTTTCACTGGCTTGAACCAAACTGGGAATGAAAGCCATTACTGAGCCTTCTTTAACATGCACGCCTACAAACTCGTCTTCACAAAGCTTCCACTAACAGGAAGTGAGTGTTTTACATACATATGGCGTACAGAACAACACAGTAATCCCTGTGCACTGGGGGAGCAGGGCAAGCATCACAACCAAAGGCCAAATACCAACTGATCTCTTACACCGGCCGGGGCAAATCCAGAATACATTGACTTCAGTGGAGTTACTCTAGATTTAAGTTGGGACAACTCAGAACTGAATATAGGCCAAGGAGAATCTCCTGGTGTTTCTGAGCTGGCTCTCTATCTAAATTATTTTCCTGTCTAAAGATAAATTATGCTGAATAATAATAAGTTTGTATTAAAGCAGAAGACATGTTTTGTGCTCTCTAAGGTATGGTCTTGACTAGGAAAGGGGAGGGTTGTGTTCTAGGCTAAGCCACAACTTGAGGTGTTACCCTGTATCTGCATGAGGAAAAAGGCTGAGTTTACATCTGGTTTAGCTAGCCCACGTCAGCTAAACCTAACCTAAACTCAACCACTTTTCCTAGTCAAGAAAAGCCCAATGGCTACATGTAAAGCAGCAAGTTTAATATTGATTGATCAGTGAAATTCCTCAACTGTTACAATTTTCTCCTAAATCTGGGCCAAAAGTTTCAAACTTTGTGTCACTAGGTTTCTGAAGATACTGGACAGTTTGCAAATCTGTTTGTAATTGACTTGTCCCTAGTAGACTGGTATTGCCATTACTGACCTGTGAAGATATAAAGGCAGCAGGTTAGCATGATGGATGCCATAAAGCAACCTGTCGAACCAACCATTCCCAGCCAGCAAGACCACCCGAAGTCGTAGTGGATCCCCAGGAATACGTCGTGTAATATCAGGGTAGCTCTCTCCACATAGACATCCACTGCATACCACACGGAGCCGACCATGCCAAGGACGCCTAGCCAAAGAACAAAGTCAGCTGAGAAAAAACAGCACAGAACACTCCCTACACACTCCACACCAGCCACTCTCCTTGGGGGGACAGGCCAGGCCAGTCTGACCAGGGCTGCCAATCCCAAGGCTTCAAATATCGTGAGTCAGACTTCAAAAGTCAGGAGATTTTTTTTTTAAATAATATAATATTTGGGGAGGGGAAGAGAAGGGGAGAAGGGTAGTAAAATCTCTCTGAACCCCTGGGGTGAAGGACCTGCCTTTCTATCCCTCTCCATCTGCTTCCCCTAGTACTGCCCTTTTTGTCCCCTCCCTGTCTCCTTTGCTGCACCAGGCATCATGCTCCCACTCACATTCTCCCGCCACGCTCCCCAACAGTCTCCTTTCCCCACCTGTTGCCTCACTTCATCTTCCCGCACATTTCCCTCCCTTTCCCTTCCCCGCTTCCTACTCCTCACATTCTGCTTCTCTGCTCCTCCATTTGCCTGCACCCTCAACCTCTTCCCGCACCTCCAAATTACCCTTCACGCCCTCTCTCCCTCCAGCTCCCCCGTTTCCTTTGCTCCCTTGAACATTGCCTGCTCCCCATTCCACTGCACCCCAGTCTCTTTCTACCCCCGCCCAATTCCCTGTCCAGTTTCCTAGCCACAGAACACGAGGGTGAGCATCCTCCTCTAAAGACAGTCTGGCTTCAGTTCCATTGGGAACAATGGGATACAGTGGCCATCTTTACTAGGTGCAGCCTCACTTTCACCTGTAGGGAAATGGGCACCATCTTGAATGAGGGCAGCCTGTGGCTTCAGCCCCAGTGGGTCAGGAGTAAGGACCTGCAGAAGAGCTGGCCTCTGGGCAACCTAACGAGCACAGCTGGCCAGTAGTTGGTTGCCTAATTGGCTATGCTACATGATTGGTTGGAAGAGTCAGCAGACTGGCGCTGAAGCCCAAAAGCAGCAGTTCAGTGGCAGCTCAAACCAGTTGCCCATGGCTGTGATAGCTCTTATGCCGGCTTGTTCCCAACCTTGCCCCTGCGTTGGCCCCAGCCCTACCCCTGCGTTGGCCCCAGTCCTGCCCCTGCGTTGTCCCTGCCTTGTCCCCAGCCCTGCCCCTGCCTTGGCCCCAGCCCTGCCTCACTCCACATAATCCGCTTCTGACCCTTGGCTCTGATTCCTGCCTTCTGACTCCAGCTGTGGCCCTTGGCTCTGGCCTCTGACTCCAGCTCTGACGCTGGGCTCCAATTCCTGGCTATTGACACCTGCTCCAACCACTAGGCATGACCGTCCACATCCCAGTCATTGACAGTTTGAGCAGTCCCTCTACAAACAATAAGAGAACCAGAGCTGATGCGGCGAGCATGGATTCTACAATCCCTCTTTGACGGAGATCGTGGGAGCCCTACGGACCTTGTGTAGAATGCAATCCTGTAAAACTCAAGTCATGCCGCCTTCAACCCCAACCCCTGCTCCCCATGAGCCCAAGCCCCTCCTGCCTGACAAATTTAACAATGATCACAACAAATTTTGTGTGTTCTTAAATCAGGGTCAGCTCCTATTTCCGCTATGCCCACGGTCACACCCACTGACCAAGCCCAAGTGGGATTGATTATCAGCCTGCTTATCAGGGAGTCCCTGGCTTGGGTGTCTTTGCTCCTGGTAAAATCAAACCCCTTTCTGGGACACCTTGAGGACTTCATCAGAGCTATGGCAGTGACCATTGATGACCCAAGTCATGAGTGTATGGCCGAAGTGTTGCAACAGGGATGCTGGCCCTTAGCTAAATATGCAGCAGAGTCCCAATGCTTGATAGTAGAAACCAAATGGAATAAGGCTGCCCAGCATTATCATTTCCGGCTTGGCCTCATGACCATATAAAAGATGAACTGGCATGTTGGAATCCTCATCTGGCTTGGATGCCTTAGTTGACCTATAGATCAAAATCAACGACCGCTTGCCCAAACCCCTCCAAGAAGAAGGATGGTACTCCTGGCTCCTACCAGGCTGCCAGATCTGGTTCCCCCCATCGCCAGTCCCTTCCCCATCACCTCAGCTCATGCTAGTTGAGCATGTCTGGCCCCACCTCTCTGACTTGGAGAAGAATCAACACTGGACATAGGGCCTCTGTCTGTAATGTGGAGAAACAGGACACTTTGCATCAAGCTGCCCTGCCAAGGTCTGATCTGCACCTGGGTTGGGAAACGCCAAGCCCCAGCCCCAGGAGCAGAGTTGGGCTGGGTTGGCACCTTCCTCTCTTCCCAGTAGCCCACACCAACACTCAGGTACCAGTACAGATATTCCCAAAATATCTCAAGGAAAACCTGCAGAAGAGGTTCATTCACTCCTCCACATCCCCAGCAGGGTCCAGTCATCTTTCTGGCAAGGAAAAACTGTTCCCTTCAGCCTTGTGTGGACTACCAAGTGCTGAACAAGATTACAATCCAAAACTGGTACTTCTTACCACTTATTAATGACCTGTTTGAAAGACTCCACTCTGCCAAGGTCTTCACAAAGTTGGACCTCCACAGAGCTTATAACCCGGTAAGAATCTGGGAAGGATATGATTGGAAGACTGCCTTTTGTACCGGCTATGGTCACTTGGAGTATTTTGTCATGCCATTTGGATTGTTCAGCACCTTGGCAACTTTCCAGCATTTAATCAATGACAGCTTTCAGGGCCTTTTGGACCAATTACCTTATAGACTCATAGACTTTAAGGCCAGAAAAGACCATAATGATCATCTAGGCCATAGACCCTCACCCACCCACTCCTGTAATATACCCATAATCTCTAGCTGAGTTACTGAAATCCTTAAATCATGATTTTAAGACTTCAAATTACTGAGAATCCACAATTTGCACTAGCTTAAACCTGCAAGTGACCCGTGCCTCAGGCTGCAGAGGAAGGCAACAAAGCCCAGTGTCTCTGCCAATCTGACACAGAGGAAAATTCCTTCCTGACCCCAAATATGGCACTCGTTAGACCCTGGGTATGTGGGCAAGACTCACCAGTCAGACACCTGGAAAAGAATTCTTTGTAGTTACTCAGAGCCTCCCCATCTAGTGTCCTATCACCGGCCGTTGGAGATATTTGCTACCAGCAGTTGCAGGTTGGCTACATGCCATTGTAGGCAGTGTCATCATACCAGCCCCTCTATAAACGTATCAAGCTCATTCTTGAAGCCAGTTAGGG